TCCCACTGGAAAACTCCACACCACTGTCTCCTGATATTCCCACTGGAAAACTCCACCTCAAAGGTTCAGTCACAGCCACTTCTGCATTGTGAACGACTGTGCTTTTATTTTCAAAATATTTTTAAACAGCACTAAACATATTTTGTAAGGTACAAGGTAGGTTGTAAGTAATGTGGAGTCAAATTATTTAAAAGACCCTCCATGCTAGTCTTAGGTATTACTCCTTTTGATGCATCTAATAATAACAACAGTAAAATGCATTAAAAAACCCTATTTGCAGTATTTTAAATACTCAAACTGAAGATAAACACCTTACTCTTTTTTTTAATATAGCAAATATTTTTCAGTTGTTTTATGGTAAAACCATAAAAAAAACCCAGCAAAATTCTCCATTACATACATATGTATAAATCACAGATGTTGGAATTATTTTTCCATTAATAGGACGCTCCTAAAGATTTTCAGGCATATTGTTGTTTGAATACATCTGATATTTGATTGACATTTCTCAACCACAATGGAACCTCAAATTGAAAAAAAAGCATGACTTAAATGCTTCACATCAAAAGCCTTCAAGATAAAATCTTTAGGAACAAGAATTCTACTTAGTTGGGTTATTTATTTATTTATTGGTAAAAGAAAAAGCAAAACAATCCATCAATGAATGATCAACTGTAAGTGTATGTTTAAATGATTTCCTAAATAGGGATAACCTTTTTTAAGGCATGAATTCTAGCAGTTCTTTTGATTTCAAGTGTCTTACTTAGGGACCCAAATCAGAGAAGTATTCCTATTTAGCAAAGCACTTCAAAAACACATTTGTGTCCCACTGGGATGTGCTTACAAACTGACCTGAGTAAGGATAGATTTAAGCATATGTTTAAGTGCTTTACTCAGATTGTTGCCTTAATTACATAGGTTCTTATCATGTAAGGTGCTGAGTGCCCATGGAATTAATCACAGTTTAGAGAGATGTGTATCTTGGGAGATCAGGCTGAAAAATGAATGGTTTGGTAATAGTGTGCTGTTTGGGTTTGCAAATTTTTGCAATCTTATGAACTTGTCATTTTTCTTTTTTTCCCCCTATGAAAAACTGGAAAACTGTAAGTAAAGGTAATCAGGGATTTATAATTAGAGTGCTTGTGCAGCAGGCGTAGGAAAAAAATATATGAATGAAATGCAATTATATTAGCCTAAAATCAGAAGCATGCACATCCCTCTGGGCAGTAATCCAGGAGACTAACAAAACATACATCTATTAAATAGTGTCTTTATGTAACGTAGTAAAGCATAGAAGTTGTTCATCTTTACATTAAGGACTATTTAATAGGAGGGTTTTATTATTATTACCATATTATTATTTACCAAAAACACTGAGAAGATTCAAGTTTTGAAAACTCTGAAAAACAGCAGTTTCCTCTGTCAGTTTGAGTCCGCTGACAGTTAAAAAAAGGAGACAAATCAGCAGCTGTCAGCAGAGGGTCCCTATAACCTCCTCTTCATCTGCTGCTGAAAACGATTTAGCTTTTAGCACGGACAGAGTAGTTTTCAACATGATTACAGGTACTATGAATGAAACTTCGTTGAATGTGGCCTATCATGCTTTTTCTTAACAACACTGTGCTGTCCCATCTACACGAAGAACTAAACTCTTTTCAACAGCAGCTGAGGACAGGTGAGTGGGGATCTAGCTGACGACAGCTGTCAGCAATAGCTCATTTCTCTAGGGTTGATGGACTGTTCGAGAAACTCCTCAAACTTTTTTCATGAGTCTTAAGACTCCTATTAAAAGCCTTAATATCGCAGTTCTTTACAAATGTTTGGAAAATTATTTTATATGTCGGAGTATAAAAAGCAGGCACTTGAATGAGAAATACATGGTCTCTCAAAACCAAACTGGGAAGAGTTGAATAGTTCTGCTGCCAGTCTCTAGTAAAAGCTATGTTTTAGCAATTAGATGCTACTCTTCACACAGGTGTGAACCCTCAATCTGCACTTTTTCATAGAACCATGAGAGTGGATACAACTATCCTGTGCTTTAATGATAATGAATATTTTATTAAAACTTTTTCATCAACTTCACTGAAGACCCCTCTCACAATGATAAACATGCTGCAGTTCCAGCAGAGGCAAAGCACTATTTAAAATAAATGGCCCAGGAATGCTTGCTTTAATCCCAAAAGAGTTTAATTGAAGAATTCAGACAGTTAAACTTCAAAGCTATAATCTGGTGTCAGGTGCATGATGCCATTACGAAAACTTTGGCTTTGGTTTCAGATCTCAAATTTCAAGTCTTGCAATCCTTCCCTAAAATACCTTCTACAATGAAACCTCGTTTTATTATTTTTGCAGTCTTCTGTTATCTGCTGTTTAGTTCATGCATGACCTGCCACCAGCTGCAGTGGTTAAAATCGTATCTCAGGAGACTAGGCATAATGTAACTGGAGTCTCATAGCAGTCATTGAAGTAGAGATCAGTGAGAACTGATGCAATATAAGATCACTTTTGCCTAAAGCCCCCAGTTGTGTTGGTGTGACAACTCAAGGTGCAATTGCAGCAGGTTTTTTTCTCCATGTTTAAACAACAAACATTTTCACCTCAATGTTGCAAGTAGATCCGCAAGTTAAGAAACCCAAAATTTTAAAAGTGTTCCTACCTGTGCTACTCTTATCAAACACCTTTACAAAACATCAGTGCTTGTAAAAGGAATAATTCAACAAGTTTACCTTGAAATTTATGGTTAAGTTTTCCTCTCATATCTTGCAAACTCTTTTATGCTAGCCCGAGTCTTTTCATCAGCCCAGAATACTTACCCGTTCTGAACTGATGCCTTCATGGTTTGAACAAATGTCCAAGGTAGACTTGAATGAGAGCTGTAAGCTAGTTTGTACTTATGATTTGAAACACAGTTGAAGCCAGAGGTAAAAATAATCAACTGGCTGACCCTTCTGTGCTACTTAATCCAATGCCTTCTGATAACTGTTTCAAAGGAATAGCCTTTGTGCAACATGTAAGTAAAACAAACTTAAGCAGTCCTCCTGATACCCTTCAGATCATTTTCAGATAAAAGCTCTCCTCTCATTAGCTTACATACAAAGGCTATAATTGATGATAGCCACAGGGCCAGGTATACATAGTAAATATTCTCATATAATGGTGACTGTTGAAAATTGGAAGATTAATCATGTAAAGATTTAAAAGTAGCAAGCAAAATTGTTGCACCACATTCAGCACATGCTCAGGTCCACTTCATTTTAGGTAACTATTGAATCTACTAGAGATTAACAATCTATCTACAATTAAACATATGTTTACGTAAAAGTAGAGGCTGAATCAGAGCCTGTAGTGAAAACTGAAGTCCAAGAAAAGGTTAACGATTCCGGATTTTAAAGAATATTTATATACTAAAATGTATTTTCCTTTTCTCCATCTCCTTTTACCAAACCACATAATTACTGTATTAACATGAATCCAAGATGATTTTGAGTTTAAGATGGCCCCCAAATGATGTATAGAATCTAATTACTAAATTGTTATAATATTCCATGTATAGTATCTAATTATTGGTGGATCATCTTAAAATTTGTGTCTCCCTACTGCTGCACTGGGGAAATCAGGGGCAGGGAGGCACCCCAGGCAACCCATAGCAGGTGATGGCCAGTAGAAGTCAAGTGATCTAACCCCCACTCCTTGCCCGCTGCTGCCTATCCTCCTTGTCCCTGGCACCTTTCCCCCTCAGCGCCTTCCCCTGCCCCCCAAAGTGACTGAGACCATTGGCACCTGCCCCCTGCAGCCACCTGTCTCCCTCCCACAGTGTCTGCATCCCCCACTAGGTTCCCTCTACCACCACTTACTCTCAGCTCTGGCTCTGGTCACGCTCCAGCCTGGGGCAAGGAACACATGGAGCTCCAATCCTGGGGCATGGAGCATCCATCCTCCATCCAGCCAAGTAACAGTGGTTGTTGTGATTCCAGCCCCAGCCCTGGGACCAGGATAGAGGTAGAGTGAGAGGGTGGCAGAAGTGACAGGGGACAGAAGCTACGGGGAGGGGGGCAACAGCTCCAACTCCAGCCCTGGCCCTGGCCCTGGCTCCAGCTCCATCTCTGTCTTCGGCTTGGGATCACAGACGAAGTAGCTGCCTGCCTGCCTGCCACCGCCCTCTCCCCCCCACCCCCC